GCAGACGGGGCCTCACGAGAGCAGAGCAGAGAGGGACGATCACCTCCCTGTCCCTGCTGCCACCCCTCTGCTGATCTCATTTGCTTTCTGAGCTGCAGGAGCACACTGCTGCCATGTGTTCAGTTTTTCATCCACCAGGACCCCCAGGTCCTTCTCTGCAGGGCTAAATCCCCACCATGTGCACTGACCATGTCCCCAAGGGGACATCTCCATGGCTCTTGAACACCTCCAGGGATGGTGACTCCCCCACCTCCCTGGGCAGCTGTACCAATGCAACTCTTCTGGAAAGAAATTGTTCCTAATATCCAACCTGAACATCCCTCAGAGCAATGAGTGGCCACCACCTCTCATCCCATCACTGCTGTGAACATCACTGCTGGGAACAGCATTCATTTGCTCTGCTTTGTAAGAGACCTGAGACCCCTCCCAGCAGGCACAGAGCTGCTCCCTCCTGTGGATGTGCTCCTAGGGAACCTACCCTGGCATTCATGGCCTTGTGGTTTTTCTTGGTTTTCTTCAGGAACTGCTTCAGGCTCCCTGAAGACACGTATTCTGTGATGAAAATGACCTGGGAGGGACAGAGGTGTCAGTTCCTTGCCCAGCGTGAGGCTGAGGATAGCGTCCTGCTACATGTCCTGGCGAATCACAGAACCATTAAGGTTGGAAAAGACCTCCAAGATCATCGAGTCTGACTGCCAACCCATCCACCCTGCCCACTAAGCTATGCCCTGAAGTGCCACATCTCCAGGGTTCTGGAACATCTCCAGGGATGGAGACTCCTCCACTTCCCCGGGCAGCCCGTGCCAATGCCTGATCGGTTTCAGAGAAGAAATTCTTCCTAATTTCCAACCTGAAGAAGAAGAGCCCTGGAAGCAGGGTGAGCAGAGGACCCCGGGATCCCACCGCCATCCCTCCCAGCCTGGCATCCGACCCCCACATCCCCCTACCCGTGCCTTCGAGTCCTTCACATCCAGCCAGTATTTATGGAGCTTCACGATGTTGGGGTGGTCCACCAGCACCAGCTGCTCAAACATGGTCTTGATCTTCTCCTACGTGCAGAGAAAGGACAGGTGAGATGGCAGCTCTGGGGGCACGGCAGGATACCGCAGAGAGCACAGGAAGATGGGGAGCAGCTCCACGTCGGGGAAAAGCTGTTTTGGGGTACAGAAGACACAGGGAGCCGTAGGCACATTCCTCACCACGAGGGGTGATTACCTCGTGTGCTTTGAAGGCCTTCTTGTCAGTGAAGAGCAGCTCATTCCACACCACCTCCACGCCTTCCTCTGTGTCCATGGCGAGGAAGGTGCTCTGGATGCCCGGCATGTTCCCCTGGTTCACCTGCAAGGCACAAGAATCTGGGAGGCCGCCCATGAGTGTGCTCTGCCCGCAGCTCCCACCCCACAGACAGACTCACTCACATCACTACATGGATGTGCATGGATCTCCTGTCCACAGGACGCTCAGGCTGGGACACCGGGATCACCCAGCCCACTGCCTGCCCTGCCCAGCCCTCAGGACTCCCATTCCTGGGGGCTCAGGTCCCTGGGACACGAGGGCACAGAACAAAGCCAGACATTGGGAGCAACTCCCAGCACAGCAGGATGTCACCATGAGAGCCACCCAGCTCCAATTCACACCCCATGTAGACCCCACATCCCAGCAGACATTGGGGAACATCCCATGCTCTGAGCTGATGGCTGCAGACACAACGGACAGGGCAGACTGGAAGGTCCAGACCAACCAAAGGCATAACATCAGCCTTGTCAACATCAAGGAGGCTGTGGATGCCCCATCCCTGCAGGCATCCAAGGCCAGGCTGGATGTGGCTCTGGGCAGCCTGGGCTGCTGGCTGGCGACCTGCACACAGCAGGGGGTTGGAACTGATGAGCATTGTGCTCCTTTGCAACCCAGGCCATTCTGTGACTCTACAGTGATTCTATGATTAACCCTATGCCACCCTTTAGATCCTTGTGGCACCCTATGGATCCCTGTGGCACCCTATGGATCCTTATGGCACCCTGTGGATCCTTATGGCACCCTATGGATCCATATGTCACCCTTTGGATTCCTATGGCACTCTCTGGATTCCTATGGCACCCTATGGATCCTTGTGGCACCCTATGGATCACTGTGGCTCACTGTGGATCCTTATGGCACCCTGTGGGTTCTCTGGGCAGCCTGGTCTGCTGGTTGGGGACCCTGCACACAGCAGGGGGTTGGAATTAGATAATCATTGTGGGCCTTTTCAACCCAGGCCATTCTATGATGAAATCACAGAACTGTGTAATGGGATGTGTTGGAAAGTTCCTTAAGGATCACAGAACCGTGGACTGGTTGGGCTGGAAGGGACCCTCAGCCCCACCCCTGCAGTGGGCTGTGTGCCCCTCAGCTCAGCTGCCCAGGGTCCCATCCACAGCCCTGAGCACCTCCAGGGATGGGGCACCCACACTTCTCTGGGCAGCAGCGCCAAGGCTCTGGGGAAACGATTTCCCCTTTACACATCCTACCCAAATCTCTCCTCTTTCACCTTAAAGCCATCCCCTTGTCCTGTCCCCACCGGAGCAGCTGACCGCATGGAGCCCATGCAGGCTGAGCGCAGGCCAGCTGGCTGCATTGCTGAGCTCTGTGCGAGGCACGCGGGCGGGGGGAACAAGTAATAGAAGCTCTTTGTGCCCAGGCAGCAGGAACTGGGCCACGAGCGCCCATCTGTTCCCTGCCAATGAGCCAGGGGTGCTGCACAACCCTCCCCCAGCGCCGTGCCCACGATCTGCCCCGTGCCACAGCGTCCGAGCCCCGAGCAGCAGCAGAACAATCCTGCATTCATCTGCATGCCGGCAGCTCCGCGCCGTGCCGGAAGAGGCAGGGGGTCCAATACTCCGGGAGGGGGATGCAGGGCTGCTCTTGTGCAGGGATATTTTGCTGCTGGTGGGGAGAACCGCCCTCATGGAATCATAGGTGCTTTGAGTTGGAAGGGACCTGTAAGAGCCATCTGGTCCAACTGCCCTGCACTGAACACGGATGTTTTCTGATGCAGGTCGGGGTACGGTTGGCTCTCTGGGCTGCGAGGGCACAGTGCTGGCTCGAGCCCAGCTGCCAACCACCAGCACCCCAAATCCTTTTTGGCAGGGCTGTGCTTTACCTTGGGCTTGTTCAGCATGGAGAAGAGAAGCTGCGGGGTGAATCAGTGCAGCCTTCAGCACCTGAAGGGAGCCTACAGACAGGAGGGGAGTCAGCTCTTGGGAAGGGGAGATGGCAGCAGGACGAGGGAATGGTTGGAACTGAGGGAGGGAGATTTCAGTTGGATGTGAGGGGGAAGTTGTTTGCTGTGAGAGTGGTGAGGTGCTGGAACAGCTGCCCAGAGAGGCTGTGGATGCCCCGTCCATCCCTGGAGGTGTTGGAGGCCAGGTTGGATGGGGCCCTGGGCAGCCTGGGCTGCTGTGAAATGTGGAGGTTGGTGGCCCTGCCTGTGGTGGGGGTTGGAGCTTCATCGTCCTTGAGGTCCCTTCCAACCTGGGCCATTCTGTGCTTCTGTGATTCTACCCTTCCATCTCCGAGCACACACTGACAGCAGGGTTGCTGTGACCCAGGTGCTGACCTCGCACTTGGATTTATTGAACCTCCCTAGGTTCCCGTAGGCCCAGTCCTCCAGTCCACCCCGGTCCCTCTGGATGCCATGCCTTCCTTCTGCTGTGTCGGCCGCACCCCACAGCTTGGTGTCACCCACACACTTGCTGAGGGTGCACTCAATCCCACCGCTGATGTCACAGATGATGATGCTGGATGCAGTTTGCAGCCTTGCTGGTGGCAGAGTTGCTGTGTGTGGGGTCACAACTCAGGGGATGGGAGCTCATCAGATGTACCCCAGGTTGTGGTGTGGCCACAGTCACCCTGAGATCCTGGAATCATAGGATCCTAGAATGGCCTGGGTTGCAAAGGAGCACAATGCTCATCAGTTCCAACCCCCTGCTGTGTGCAGGTCACCAACCAGCAGACCAGGCTGCACAGAGCCGCATCCAGCCTGGCCTTGGATGCCTGCAGGGATGGGGCATCCACAGCCTCCTTGGGCAATCTGTTCCAGTGCTCCATCACCCTCTGGGTGACCTTTAAAGTCCGTTCCATCCAATCCATTCTATGACCCATGATTCCATGAGGCTGTGCTGGGATGGGAGGGCTGAGGGAAGCCCCTATGCTTCCCTCGGTGCCCATGAAGCTGCTCTTCTGCCCACCTCAAAAAACACCAACGGAAAATCATCTCATGGTCCTGAGAAAAACCCCAAACTGTCACCAGTGAGCAGCCACTGTGTGCTGAGCGGCTGCAGAACTCACTCCGAGCAGCAGCTCCACGCACGGAGCTCTCAGCTGCACCACTAAATAAATGCTGTCTATGGGACTGGAGGCAAAAGGAGCGGCCACAGTCACTGCTGTGATCTCACCCTGCGCCTCTCAAGGCTTCCTCCCATCAGCTCTGTGAGGCAAAGCTCCTCCTGCACCAGACTGGGAAATTCTGTGCTCGGGTTCCTTCCAGAAAGGCTCTGGCAGGAGCTGAGGCTGCGTGGGGAGACCATGGGGACGGGTAAGTGGAGGTTACGACAGATCAGATTGCATCTTACAATAAATTGCTCCTTTTGTGCTTCTCACATTACAGAGGCTGAAACAGCAGACAGAAAAAGGTTTGGTGATGGAGCACCGGGGCCATGGGGGAGCAGCGGTTCTATCAGGAGGGCTGGGAATGCTCACAGCAGCGCCCAGCCGCCCCTCCGTGCAGAGATGCTGATCCAACCCAAACCTCCCCGCTGCCACCTGAGGCTGCTTCCTCACATCCCACCATCTGCAAACAGAGACCGACCCTCTTCGCTGCAACCTCCCTTCATGTCCCTGCAGATGGGGTCCGCCCTCAGCCTCCTCTTCTGCAGACTGAGCAGCCCCAGCTCCTTCCCCTGCTCCCCTTGTCGTGCTGTCTGCTCCCTTCTCCAGCTGTGTTGCTATTCTCTGCCCATGCACTCTCACCAGTGCTGAGCACTGAGCCTCCCTGGTTCTGATAAAACCCAGGATGCAGTCGGCTTTCTTGGCCACCTGGATACACGGACAGCTGGCTCTCACCAGCACCCCCAGATTCCTTTCCCATCCAGATCTGCCCTCCTGTGTGCACTTAGCACAGCACCAACCTGGGGGAGGAGGCCACCTCCTGCCTGCAGGAGCTTTACCCAAAGCACTTCCAAAATCTGGCACAGGTTTGCTGCTTTGTCTCCAAGGCAACTGAGCAGGGCAAAACATCAGCGCTCAGCCTGAGCAGCACGGGGTCACGTCAGCATCTTGGGCTCCCTGGGCAGGGGGCTGCAGGGCGGGCACGGAACAAAGCTCACCAGCAGCAGTGCTGATGCCTCGGTTATTTGGTGGCCACGAGCATCTGCTGTGCCATAAGCCCTAACCCCATGGCATGGAGCAAAAGCCCGGCTGCAGGCAGGGGGGACACGGAGGGCACAGAGGCAGCACAGATGCTCACAGTGGGCACAGCCCACTGTTGGGATTTCCTGGGGCTGAGCAGGGAATACTGTGCCCAGGAGAGCAGAGCAAATCCCAACTCGCTCCTCTGCTCTGGGATCTCATTAGCCTGGTGAAAGCAAAATCTGCAGGTGGGCCTTTAGAGACTTTGTTGGAGTTACGGATGGCACAGAGCTACACAGGGACACCTCGGCGCAGTGCCTGCGCTCTCTGAGCAGCGCATGCAGGGACGCAGAGTTGTGTCCTAGGGCAGGAGGGAATGCTGCAACACAGGAACCATTCTTCCAACTATGTCAAAAGGAAAAGGAGCTCAGATGGCTGAAGCCACATTGACAGCTGTGCTGCCCGTCTCAGCTCACTGAGGGCTGTGGGTGACAGACAACATCGGCTGCATGCAGAGCGCAGTTGGAGAAGACCTCCAAGATCCCCACGTCCAACCCAACCCACCCCACCATGACCACTGCCCACCTCCCTCAGTGCCACATCCACACAGTGCTGGAACACCTCCAGGGTCGGTGACTGCCCCACTTCCCTGGGCAGCCTGTGCCACTGCATCACCACTCTTTCCAGGAATCAATTGTTCCTAACATCTTCTCTGAATTGTTCCTAATTGTTTCCTAACTACTTCTCTGAAAGGGTGGTCGGGTGCTGCAATGTGCTGTCCAGAGAGGTGGTGGAGTCACCGACCCTGGAGGTGTTCAAGGAACGTTTGGATGTTGTGTTGAGGGACATGGTTTAGCGAGAACCACTGGTGATGGGTGAATGGTTGGACTGGATGATCCTGTGGGTCTTTTCCAACCTTAGTGATTCTATGATTCTATGATCCACGCTGACCC